GAACTGAGGACTGTACTGCAGCAGGAATTCAAACAACACACGAGAGGTAAGGTAGGGTGATCAGTCTTTTGAAGCTATTCACAAAAGCTGTGCTTAGTATGTAATGCAGAATCATAGCCTTTTTTTAAATTAATTTATTTTTTATGGAAGAATAATTGCTTTACAGAATACTCGATGACATAAATCAAAGCAAGATCCTTTATGACCCACCTCCTAGAATCATAGCCTTTTAAGGAAGAAGGAGCTACTTTTTTTCTGACTACCAAAGCCTCACATATTACTAGAAGTGCCTAGTTGTACTTGATACTTGTTGGAGTAAAAATAATGAACTCAAGGAGACAGAAAGTGGAAATACCAGGCAAGAGCCCAGGAGAGCAAATGCCTTAGGAACCAGAATTGGTCAGGCAATTTTAATACTTTAGTCAGTACTTGCCACGAGTAACCTGACAATTTTCTCTCAATATTTCCTCCTGAATTCCCTTTTCATCACTGTTGCCTTCTACATTCATTTTCTTTTGCTATAAGGGCTTCAAACAACAGAAATGTATTATTATTTCACAGTTCTGTAGGTCTTACATGTGGGCTCAATTGGGTGGTCTTTTTAAGGTCTCACTGGGCTGAAATCAAGGTGTCAGCTGAGGTTGTGATCATATCTGAGACTCAGGGTCCTTTTTCATGCTCACTAGCTGTTGGCATAATTCAGTTCCTTTTGGGTGTAGCACTGAGTTTCCTGCTTTCCTACTGGGTATTAACTGGGAGCCATTCTCAGTCCCTTGAGGTTGCCAGCCATGATTTTCTTTAACATGGCAGTTCACTCCTTCAAGAGCTATAGCAGAAAACTCACTCATGCTTCAGATCTCTTTAGTTTAAGAGATCCTACCCGATTAAGTAAGAAATATCCAGATAACTTATTTTTAATTCCAAAATGAATAAATTTGGGGTATTAATTACATCTGCATAGCTGCTCCTGTCATATAACATACTAACATCATGAAATTTATTTGAAATTCATCATGTTCATACTTTTGTTTATACTCAAGGGGAGGAGGTGTTACAATAGTACAAATAGAAGAAGATTTAGTGGTAAAATACTTTATAGATGTTGGATTATTCATTGTAGTAACACAAAGTTGCTATAGCTAAAGGGTAGAAATGATTAATTTTCTATACTGTCTGTCAATACTGAACCAATGTTAACTATAAATATTATAAGCTATGAAGTGTTAATATTATTATTGAACATTCAAGGCACTCAGCTCCTCTCTTTATCCCTTTTAAGATATCAAATCAGAATAAGTTCAGCTGGAGAATGAGGAAAACATTACTTTCCACAGTTAGCTCCTTACTTGTTTCTATGAAATGAGTTGAAGTCTTGGGGAAAGGAGGATTATAGCCGAGCAACTATCGTGGAGGGAGGGCAGCAGAAGGGAACATATGGAAGACATTTTGATTCAGGATAGATTTCATCTTTCCCTACAATACCCTGCCAGCACACTGCCCCTAGCGCTGCTTAAGGGGACGTTTGTGGAGCTCTTGTAGGACACAACTATTGTCCCCACCCAGGGTCTTATCCGAAATGAACTTGGATTTGTGCCTGTAGCCTGTGGGCTTACCTGTAATGTATTTTTAAAAGTTTAAAGGATGCAGCATAGGACCACCATACCTTGAGACAACCCCCTAGAGCTTCTGGGGATTTTCTAGGTCTGCTTAACGGAAGTCATCTAGCCTAGGATTTGATTCTCTATAGTAACGGCAGGAAAAACTAGATGAGCAGCTCATAGGATCAGAAGGTCAAATTGTCAATAAATTGGAAAGACCAGATCTTTTAATCACATTGGATTCTACTTTTACAAATACAATTTGTGTATTAGATGGAAGAATGCACATTCAAGAGCAGCAGAAAAAAAAAAATTTTAGTAGCATTTTTAACACTTTGTTTGAGGGTAGATGTCGAAAATGGCAAAAATGTCAGAATCTATAATGTAATCTCTAAGGTAGACAGCCAAAAGTCTTAAAGGAGTAATTATGACTCTTAAATGTAGACACTGTATTTACATAGAAATCAACTTCCTTTACCAAAAAAAATACCCGTGTGAAGTTTTTTACTCTTAACAATTACTCCTACAGTCTTAGTCTTAGAGGTGAATAAAGAGACAGACCAATTATTCTGTCAGTCCCAGTGCATTTCATTCATATTTTAAACCATTGCTGTGAAGTTTAATCTAAGTATTAATTAAATAACTACTAGTTGATTAAGTATTAATTAATCTAGAATAAATAGCATAATTTATCCTTAGTATATATATAATTTTGTTACATATTTTATATGTACAAAGTTCTGAACATTTTCATTATTTTAGATGGATGCAATACTTTAGGTAGATTCATTTCACAAAGTATATGAATTTTTCTGATGAACTAGAAGCACAGACAGAGCCATAGACTTCTCTCTCTTCCCCTTCCCAACTTGGGAGCCCCTCCAGGGATGATGCTACATGTGTATTGTTTTGACAGGATAAATAAAAAGAGCATCATTTTTTAATTCAAACAACTTAGGCTTGAATTCTGGTGCTGCCACTAACTTGCTGTGATTTCTTGAGAAATTATTCCTTGCCTTTTTCTTTCCATAATATTTAGAGTAATAGTAATAATTATACCTAGCATATAGGTTGAAGAGATGTATTATGGAAATAATACATAAAATAGCTTACTGTATGCAAAATGTTTTGTAAACTACAGAATGCTCTACAAATGTAAGCTGATAAGTTGATATGATTTCAAAAACATAAACACATCATCAAATACATTTAGGAGTTTTTCTTCAAGAACGTTGGAGTTTTCTTCAACATTACTAGCAAATAGCTTCCTTAAACTTTTAAAAGAAATTTCCTCTTAGATTTATTTAACTCTAAACCTTTTTAGCGGAATGTCCTCATTCTAATTTTCAATGATTCCAGTTATTTTTTTTCTTACCAATTGCCATAGCATCAGAGTTCTCTGAAATCTAATTTATATTTCTTTGTCTTTAGAAAGGAGATATCATAGACATTATCTGCAAAACACCTATGGGGATGTGGACAGGAATGTTGAACAATAAGGTGGGAAACTTCAAATTCATTTATGTGGATGTCATATCAGAAGAAGAAGCGGCCCCCAAGAAGATGAAGACACAAAGAAGGAGTGGAATGGAAAAGCCTGAGACTCTGCAGGAGTTCCTAGAGAGGATTCACCTTCAGGTTAGCAAACCCATGGCCTGTTTGATTTTGATGGCATACAGATGGAATAATTGAGAAGAATGGATCAGTGTTTGTATTGCTAAAAAAATACATGACTTACAGCAAGGGAAAATCTGTTTTCCAAGGACAGCTCTTACTTACCCATAACCACTTCTTTATGCATGGACTGGTCTTGATATAATATCACGTGGACTAAATTCTAACGATGTTTAGCAGTCACAGTAGAGATTGGGCTTCCCCGATGTCTCAGTTTGTAAATAATCCGCCTGCCATGCAGGAGACACCATAAGACACAGGAGACTCCTATTCGGCCCCTGGGTCAGGAAGATCCCCTGTAGAAGGAATGGCCACCCACTCCTTGCCTGAAAAATCCCATGGAATGAGAAGCCTGGCAGGCTATAATCCAAAGGGTCGCAAATAGTCAAACACAACTGAGCAATTAAACACGTATGTAGCACCTAGAGATTAGAACAAGAAAGTGCAGTGGAAAGTGAAATATACTTGGGGGAATAAAAGACCCAGAGAAAACATGGTAATGAGAATGATAAAGAGGATATAAAGAGTGAAGGTAAAATTCAAAGAATTGAAAGGAAGAATGACAAGAAACTTGTATTTCCTATAGAGCAGAGATCAAAAGCAACTCAATAGAAGGTAGCCAAATTTGTTTTTAAAGAAATTTATGAGAAAACAATGATCATTAAGGCCCCATAATGATTGTGTTAGGGAAACTGTTGTCTATATTTATAATCCAGTTATTTTCTTGTTATATTAGAGAAATTTTTATGAAGTATCTCTATGTTGTTAAATGGCAGGTACCTACACTATGCCTAGCCTCACTAGATTTACTGGTTTGCAATCTACTTCTAAAACTAATACAGCAGTATTTTAATAGCTTTCAAAATTCATCATCAAGAAAATAACCAATTAATCTTTCCTTAACTGTTTTTCCTGAATCACCTAGTTGTATTCCAATCTGTAGATTCACTACATAGACATTTCAGTATTACTATTGGTGTCCTCTAAATGGTATACTCCTTGGAGGAGGCACATGTTTGAATCCTACTTCAGCTACTTGTCTGTTCTGTGACCTATGATAAAACCAAGGTCTGAGGAAGCGAAACTTACTCAAGAACTCTCAGTTACATCAGATTGGGATTTTCTTTTTTCCTGTTCTGATTCTGTGATCCTTCTAGGATACATTATTTTAAAACAGAATTGCTACTCTTTCTTTCCTTTTTCTAAATAAATAAAGGGCTAGTAATAAGTTCTTTCTGATTACTTAAAACTTTTATATCCTCTTATTCAATTTTAGTAACTAAAATAAGGATATTGGAATTATGATCAAGTAAAATGGGATGAATATTTGAGGAAGTTGAAAAGCATTTCAATTCACTTTGCATTTTTATTCTGTTACAGAGAACAGAGGTTACATAAATAACATATAGACTTTGAAATCAGAAGCCTATGAATTTTAAACTAATATATATTAATGCAAATGATGGACAAAATATACATGCTAAGAAATGGAAACAATACTTTTACCAACCACAGTGTTCTAATGCTTAATAAAAGCTTTTAATTAAATAGAAAGTCTGGAATGCCCTAGGTTTATAAAATATCTTTCAACCAAAATGTTAGGTATACTTATATAAATTGTATCTGTTTCAAACTCGTTTTTTTGATCTGCCTCAAGAAGTTAATGAGGGTAGATGATTTTGCGATCAAGCAAATAGGAAGAGATATAGTTCCAGAAATATTATAATATACTCTATGAGAGGCATTTTATTGATAGACTTAAAAAAACACTAGCTTTGTCAATTTTGCTATTTGAGAAGTGAAAATGTGCCAGATGGGATGAGTGATCCAGCTATTTAATTGATTCCTGATTTAGCATTGCATAGCTTAAGGTGATCATTTCTTCTTTACATTTGTCCTTCCAGAAGGTGAGAAATGTACAGCATGCTGTTTAAAGGTCCTGCGTTCATCTGTAGAAAACTAGTACAAATAAAATAAAATTAAGCAAAAGTTCTGTTGGCACCTTTTGGTTCCAATGATTGTTTCCATTTCTACACTTTTTAAAAATCTAAAAATAATTAAAAATAAAATGTTTGCATCTGAGTAGCTTATATTATACAAAGTTTTTTCTTCCATACAGGAATATACCTCAACACTTTTGCTCAATGGTTACGAGACCCTAGAAGATTTAAAGGATATAAAAGAGAGTCATCTCATTGAATTAAACATTAAAAACCCAGAAGACAGAATGCGGTTACTATCAGCTGCTGAAAATCTCCTTGATGAAGAAAGTAAGTATGCGTAGCTACTCGTCTCCCTCACTCAGAATGAAAGGTTAATCTAAATAGTAAAATCATTAAAAACAAATTCCCAGTTTTATTTGCTGGGAATCATATAAAGCATTTTTTCCAATAAAAAACGTATTTTCTTATACATTTGGAAACATCAGATCTATAAATAGTCAAATGGTCAGATCTATAAATAGAAAGAGGACTTTTTTTTTTTTTTTTTGCTGCTTACTGGATCCAGAAAATGAAAGGGCTTTACTGGGTACTTCATTTAGATTCTGCAGAGCTACTAATTTACACACAAAAGGATGGCTGCATTCCCCAAGACTGGGGGAGTCAGAGACAAATATTTAGCGGCAGCAGGAGCCATTAGCGAGAACTGTCGTAGGCAACTTTTGTAGAACCGCGCAGAGCATGGCTCTGAGCTAATGAGGCTTTGCACCACCCAAGAAAATTCATTTCATTACCATATAGCCCCATCTTGTACGTGTTATGGTATTCTTTCAAAACGCTATAATAGCTTGCAAAAATATTCAGCACTTACTTTTACTATCTGAGGTGGTTCTCTGTATTTGTAAGTATAAACTAAAGATGGAGGAACACATGCAGATTCACTTGAATATTGGCCACACCAACTGGGTTTATAAAGATAAGCTAGCCTTTGTTTTCACAACTGCCCTATCTGACCATTATTCTTATCAAATCTGACTGGGCTCCCTAAACCCTGAGCTCAGGGAGTTCCAAAATCTGTCTGGAGTATTTCATTAGAAAAAAAATGGGGGACGATATCTAATTCTAAAGATGAAAAAGAACTTCTATCCCCTAATCCAACCTTCTCTTTCCAAAGTAATATTAATAATAACCATTAATTATTTTTTTGAACATGTTCTCTAAAACTTTGAGCCAGGGTCTTTACACTTAAACCATCTTCTTTAAAGCTGTCCACAACTCTCTGAGTTGGTATCACCCCCACTTTTATAATGAGAAATGAGAAGATAAGAAACTTGTCCAAGCTTATGCACCTGGTGAATAAGGAAGCAAGGACCAGTGTTTGTGATGTTGTTAGACTTTCTTATATTGCAAGTAATAGCCCAGATTGAGAGTCAGGTGAAAAGTTCTACATAGGACCCAGGCCTTGATGGTTCTCTCGTGAGCTTTCCTATATTCTCCCTCATATGTCTCACGAAATGGCAGTGTTGAACCACACATATTTATTATACATGGGTCTTTTGTCTAGTAAGAATTAATTTACTTTATAGAAACCATACCTTACTGAATCCTTACCTACTGTCTTGAGCTCGCAAAAGTCCTCATCCTTTTGAAGGAGTTTTCACATGCACCACTCATTTGACACCCACAGAACTGATTTCATCCTTTAGGCTTAGGAGTTTGTATACCTTCTTTGAAGCTGTGGCAGCTAGAAGATGCAGAAGAGAAAGGAATCAGGTCCCAGAGGCAAACAAAGGTCAGACTTAAGAAAGTAACCTATTTACAAGACAACACAAAACTGATCAGTGTAAACTGGTCTAGGAATATCTTCCAAGTAAATGAGGCAGTTCCTTTCACATCTCGTCATTTCAAAACATTTCAAAACTATGCAATATAAGAAATGGATTCTGTCATGAAAGTGATGATTTTTAGTATCATTATCAGTACTCTCCCAAATAAGCTGATACTGAAATGGAGGAAAAACAGTATTTCTTGAACACTTGTAAATAATTGCTTTTCTTCTACAATAACATCCATGTAGCTATTTTGCCCATTTTATAGATGAGAAAATATTTCAGAGATGAATTTCAAAGAGGCCAAACAGCTAGATTAGTAAAGAGTTGGAGTTTTAATTAAAGGCAGTCTACTACAAAAAAACCAAGTTCTTAAAAAAAAAAAATTAAAAAAAAATCAAGTTCTTTCTTCCACACATACAAACCAGTAAATATGGATAGAACAATGCCTATTGAAAATGCAAGCTTTCTGCTGTTTTGTCAACTTCCCCAAGAACTTCAGTTCAGTTGTCCATCTCAGAAAGTGGAAGTTAATAAAGTTAATATTTAAGTGAGAACGGAAGTTTTGTAACAGCATGACACCCTTAAAGGTTCAGAGGCTTGTATAGCTACATTGAGGCAGGATTTGTGAATGGAATGGGCCAGAGGGGCTTGGTAAACAGGACTTTAAGTCATGAAAGTGTGCTCAGCGGAGACCCACAGAGTGACTATCAGTCCAGTCCAAAGGCCTCGGCCACTTAAGGTATCCACTTAATTTCTTTATTCTGCCTTCCACATCACCCATCTACTTTCTCTGTTAACAAAAGTACAATAATTTATAGATGATATCATCTTAGAGCTAGGTATAATTTTAAAAACCATCTGACTCAAATTCTTCCTTTACAAGATGAGGAAACTAGAACTAGGGTAGCCTTCTCAAGGTCACATATCTAGAACCCAGTCTCCTAAACCCATCAGAAACACATTTAACTATGCCCTGCTCTCTGAAAACAAAAGACGATCTCTCCAAACAATGATGTGACTTTCAATGTTTGATATAAAAAGCATAAAAATTCCCTGAATTATTTCTCTTTAGAAAACAGTACTTGAAGGTCACTAGAGGTTGACCGTTTAATAAAATCCAGTAATGTACAAACATACCCATACAGAGCCAAATTCTAGGAGATGAAAAATGGAAAAAAATGCAGATTCAACCGGTGTTTGTTCTCAACACACAACCCTGAGACTTTTCCTCTTTTAATCTTATGGTCTAAAGTAGTATTAGAATATACATGTCAAAAAGATGCATATTGCATGTTAGGCTATTCTGACTGAAAGCTATTTATCTTATATGAAACTGCTTTGCTCAAGAAATAAAGAAGAATGACTTCTATTTGTTGATAAGATGGTGAGTTCTGATGATTCGGCACCATGCTACTGCATGTTTATTTTTATCTATTCTCTACTCTGTGAATCATATCTTCTACAACCATGCTAAAGATTAAATGCACAACCTTCATGTACCTTGAATGATAAAGACCTTGAATATATGGTTGTTTAAAAATGAGACATTATTAAAAACAAATGCATGTCACAGTCATAGGTTTAAAATAGCTTTTTTTTGTTATGTGGAAGAACGGGGTATGCAAATTGACTAGGATTTTATGTATGCATTTTATTTTGATCATTGAATGTCAGTTTAGGGAACGTCAATAAATTCCTAGTTTAGCGTTTCATTGCTATTTAGGTTGGAAAGTTTTGCTTTGCTTATCATTCAGTATAAAAATTGAGCAGAGAGGGCACCAGTTCTGATCACAGGAATTAAAGCTCTGAGATAATGTGGAAAAGACCACAAACTCCAGTGTGAGGCTTTAATACATTTAGGGGGACCAAAGCCTGGGGAATGGGACAGGAACAAGCAGAAATCTAGACTTAGAACAAGCAGTTTCCCTTTTCTCTTAGGCCAAAAGAGACAGCATTGTACCCACTTTGACCTTGAAATTGTTAACCAGATTAAACTTTTTTAGGTCATTGCTTGACAGGAGGTAAAGACACTTCTCCAACAATAGGGCTGGCGAGCGGTGTTAGGACTCATGTGTGTATGTATGTATGTATATATGTATGTATATATGTATGATGTATGTGTGTATGTATGTATGATGGATGTATGATCTCTAGAGGCAAAAAGCAACTTTGGGTTCTACAATTCCAAGCAAGACTAGCACAGAGATATTCTGAATTTCTTCTCACAACACATTAGAACTGAGCAGAATCAGGCTACGGGCTCCTTCAGCTGGGAATCTAGATCAGGTTAGAAGGAAAAAAAAAATTAGGGTAAACTACTTGGCTCTTGAAGAAGCAAATGAGTGGAATCTGTTTATTTTCTGCACTTTAGAGTTTCTCTGTTTATCATCTGAATTTTAAAATGGTTTGTTTACTTTGAATAAATATTCCCAGCAAGGAAAAAAGAGAATAGAGAATGTCTGTGTGTGTGTTTTTCCATAAACACAACCTTCAAGACCCCTTTGCCTTGCTGAGAAATGCCTCTTTAATAAGATAGCTGCTATTTATAGTAAATATTTCCTTTTTATTCTGAACTCATTTCTCTTTTCCTACTCTGAGATGCACTTTGATGTGTCTTAAAAGTGTGCCTGTGAGAATGTGTACAATCCTCCTTGGGGAAAATGGGTGATGGAAATACCTGGTTCTCCCTATAGCCCAGGGATAATTAAAGCTTAAATTGAAAACAAAAAGCAACCTCGTAACAGAATGAGCAAACTCTATTGGAGCATGCATATAACATATTGGGGTTATTACCCACACCCTTTGTTTGCAGTGCTCGTGAGGAGGAAGGGGGAAGGGTGGGTTGTGTGCCAGGCTCTTGGCACCAGCTGTGGTCACAGCAGCCCCACATTGCTCAACTATCCCCACTTGTGCCTTCCTGCCTGCCTACCTGCCCACAACGATGCAGGGCAAATGGCACAGCCCAGCCGGGAGCCTGGAACATGAGCTGCCAGCAGGAGAGGTTTGTAGTGATGCCAAGCAGCAGCCCAGCAGTTGGCCTGACAGCGTGCCAGGGTCGCCTGGCGCCTTAGCCCCTGACATGCGTGCCTGTTGTTTCCAACCCACTTGCCATATGATTTGGATTGAGAGTCAAGAAACATGCAGCTTTTAAGAAAATATAGCTGACTATCTCCGCAGAGTAGAGGAGGCACATGGGCATTTTACTTTTATGTGTTTATAAATACGCATTTAATATCTATTTCTAGTCATAGCCATTTTGCTTCATATAATGTTTCTTCAAATTTTTTTTAGTTTTATCCCCTAAAGTTTAAATTATGATAGATGCTCTATTCCATATAATACAAAGAACAAAAAAATGAAATAAAAACATTATGCTTCAGAGAACCATCTCCAGAGAAAACAGTTCATAGAATTTTCACCTCAGTCATTTAGAGAACTTGTAACATCTGCACATGTAGGGCATTCTTGTACTTGTCTTTATATTGCACTGTGATTGTGTGCTAGGCATGGCTTTGTAGTGATTACCCTGGTCAAACAAGACACAATCTTCTGTCACCGTGTGCCTTCCCAAAGCCCCTAGCGCCATATTGGCATTGAATCCATAGTTAACAAATGCTTGTGGAATGCATACATGTTGAATGAGAGGATGAAAAGAACTGCAAATAGTAAGCAAAACTTTTTTTTTTCAGGTTATAAAGTTTAAAGTCCCCTGAAACCCCACTTTACACATAAAAGTTTTTGCAACAGTCAGCTGGCTGTTGGAAAGTGTTGTTAAGATTCATTTCATGCATACATCAGCCATGTATGCAGGTACATGTGAAAGTGTGTGAGGAGATTTCTAGAAATATAAAAAACTATCAAAGTTTAAAATAGGTATACTTTTGAATCCAGAAATTCCAAGTTTTAGGAATTTGACTAACTTCTACAATGCATAAAAATACTAGTTAAACTACTAGGAGTTTTAGTTCAAAACTAAAACTAATGTGAACTTCTATTAGTAATCAATTTGTTATAAATAAAGATATAGGCAAACAATAAAGCAGAATAAAGATATCAGGAGAATGAAATACAGGCTGACATGAAATGATGCCCGAAACATAGTAAATGGTAAAAGCAAATTGTAGATTAGTAATATGTAACATAATCCTGTTTTGCCAAATATAATACATTTTAAAATAATGAAATTAAGTCATCATTTCACCATGTCAAGTACACAGGATTAAATTAACTGTTAAGAAATGTGATATTGATTTCCCAAGGCCCCCAGTGAAGCAGTATGAATAGTTTTTTATATTACTTGGTCATCATCAAAATAGTCTACTAGGACAACAATTCAACCAAGGGTAAATACTTCTGGGACCAAGGCCTTTCATGGGAATGTGTGCATGAGGAAGTGGTAGCCTGATGTGAGGTCCCCATTGGTGTGGAGCAATTAGATCTCAAGTGAGTGTGACTCTGTGCCTCTGAAGGAGACAGCACAGTGAGCAGCTGTTGTGAGTGTAAGTGAAAAGGCGTGCTCTCCAGAACACAGCTCATTAGAGAGGAGACATGATGCTTGAATGCAAAGAGGGGTTAGCAAACAGAGGGACAGTCATTTCAACTCCAGAGTTTCTCATGGCCTCAGGAAAACAGTAACTGGTTGGTTTCCCATGAAGAGATTCTTGTATTCACTTTGTTCTTGTTGTTTTTTTCAAAAGGTGGACTAGTATTCAATTAAAATAAATACCAGATATTCACTAAATAGAAAATTAAAATGTTCAGGTAATTTAAGGACATGCTTAAGATGAAATCAGAAACAAGTAGGCTATGCCATATTGTCTAGCGAAAGTTTCCCTCCATGGACAATGCTATCTCTGGCCAAATAAATATAGCCAGAGTGATCTGGAGAACGCTTGAGTCTAGGTTTGAGGAGCTGATATGGAGGGACAAATGAGGCTGAGATTTTGAGCCATCTTAAAATGCTTCCCTTGTGGTTCAGACAGTAAAGAATCTGCCTGCAGTATAGGAGACCTCGGTTTAACCCCTGGGTCGGGAAGACCCCCTGGAGAAGGGAATGTCTACGCACTCCACTATTCTTGCCTGGGGAATCCCAGGGACACAGGAGTTTTGTGGGCTAGGGACCATGGTGTCACAAAAGTGTCCGACACAACTTAGTGACTAAATAACAAAGGTGCATAAGCCTTGTTTTTCCTCGCTGAAGATGGTACCAGACTAGAGAAAAAAGAGGAGGATAATACAAAGACCCAAGAGGTGTCTTCATTTGAATTTCAACAAAATTTCTTACTTGATTTTCTTTAGTTCGTATTTCCTTTAATTAACCTAAATATTGCATTCTTTTTATTAAATATATGTTTATTAAGCACTTTCATTGATCAGCTATTTTCCTATGCCCTCTGGATTGCATTACTTGATAGTACATGATATAAAGGACAAGCTTCATACTTAAGGCAAACAAGATAATAAAGTCAAAATCTGGAATATTTGAGTAAAGAAAACTGGGAAAGTCAAGCAAAAACTAGTAGTTTACATTTTTTATTAAATCTTCAACTTTCTAATATGTGAATATAGGACAGAATTTTCTCTTCAGACATGATAACTTTTTCCCAGAATTAGGACCTAGTTTGATTTCCTTAAAGCTTTCTTCAGTTTTAGTATAATTGAGATTGCCTGTACTTAATTAAATGTCACAACTCAATATAATTATTTTATGAATAATTATATTAGCTGTCTTATATTCTAATCACCATGTCACTTTTTATCTCCATTGATCAGACTTATGTTGAACCATGGGCTTTATACAATTCCATAAAAATTTTGGTAAGAAATGAAATATTTTGTTATTCAAATCAGTTCTTTATGAAAAAATATCTTCTAAATAATTTGTCTTAAAATGATCATTTTATTTTTACTACATAGAGTGCAGAACTGTTTGGAGCTGCTTTCTGTACTCCTTTATGCCTGATGTTAGCTGGTAGCAATAAGATATACCCTTTTTCAGATTACTTACTAATTCTTCAGTATACTCAGATTTTCAAATGTACAGCTTTGGGGATATTTGCAAACCATTCAGGGGCTTTATTAAAAAAATGGTAACATTATAATGTTTTGTTCTTTATTAAAATAAAATACAAAACATTGTAAACAATCTCAGAAATATAGAACTCTAATTAGTTCTAACACTTTCACGTCTGAATTATATGATGCCCATGTTTTTACATAACTTTAAAAATAGAAAAGTTATATACGCTAATTCTTTAACTTCATGTATTATCAGAAATGTTTTTGTACAAAAAGATGCACTTGGATATCCTAAGGAAAGTCTGTAATTTTATAGTCAAACTGATTCTTATTCCAATGTGTTACTTACCTGGTTAGCTCAGATGATTGGACCACGGGACAAAACTGATGAAGGATATAGTTTCAATTTCTAGGTAGGTCAGTTAGCTTTACTCTGCTTCATGACCACATGAAGAGACTAAATGACTTAGAAAGAACATGTGAATATACTAGAGTGAATTCATTTCCTCTGCTGGAAAAACTACCCATAGCATAAGACCTAGATTTATGCCAATCCTTAAGTCATTAGTGTCAAGATGAAATAAATAAATAAGTAAATAAACAACAACAACAACAACAAAAAAAGAGGAAAATCTTGACCCTCCAAATACAAAAACTGAATGCTAGATAGCTTTCCTTTCCATTATATAACTTTATGACCTGCCTTTTCTTTTTATAGTTACAGTTGAGGAGTTCCAGCTGATCACCTGCCTGACATTGTTGCAAGCCTGGTGGGAAGCTTTTGAGGAGGCATAGTCATGTTTTCATTTCACTAGGAAATCATTTAGCAAATTACTACTGTTCTGTAAATTACTGTGCTGCATAACTTTCATACTGAGAAACTATTTCCTTTTTCCATAAAAATTGCAGATGAAAGGTTTCTACAATAAATAACCTGTATTTAAAATGAACCATTCCTAAAATATGGAGAATGTGATACAGCATTTCTCAGGTGGAAATAAAAACAGATACATTTTATTACTAATATTAAAAATGGCATATTCTCTGTTTAAAGTTAGATTTATTGTTTCTTTACTTTGTTACTCTTTGAGGTGAACATATAGAACTTTCAGAGAATGAAATAACAACCTAAGTACTTATTTTTTGGAAAGGAAAAGAGCTAATTTTAGAATTCAGAGTTCTTTAAGCCTAAGTTTTATATCTTGAAGAGTCCCACAATCAGTAATCAACCTAAACAGAACACAGTGTTGGAAGTAGTAATTATGCTAAGTCGCTTTTAGGATGGCAGTCTGAGGAAGGGATCTCAGTTCTTTCAATTTTGTGTTGAGGTAATAAGCCCAGATATATCTGGGGAAATATGATCTTATCCCCACCGCCATTCTGACAAAGAGGATCACACTCTGAATATGGTGATCACTGCTGATGCGGCAGGAAGCACTGCAAAAAGGTTAATTCCTCTGGTCTTTTTCCAGAAACACTTGGATAATGGAACACAGAGCCATCTCTTTCATTTCAGTGGCAATAAGACAGAAAAACAAAGGAAGAGGAGAAGGTTTTTCCTTAAAGACTGAGGTCCCATTTCAGTGCTGCCTTTTCACAAAAGAAGGGCTTGGAACCACAGTGGATGACTGATACTCATCAAGACTAGTCAAGATTAAGTAGATTCCCTTAAAGCTAAAAGGCTTATAACTAATAAAGACAAAATGCTTCACAATAGCCAACATTTTAAAACAATAATCACAAAAGGTTCACATTAAGTTGAAGCTCCTTATACC